TACGTAATAATTCGAAAAAGTAACCCGCACCAATTAACAAGTCAATTCTTCGTGGTGTATTAAACCATGGGTCAGCCAATTTGATATCAGGAGGAATCAAAATATTATTTTTTATTAATTTTGACGGCAAATTATTAGTTATACGCTTCACTACCAAACACGTGGCTGTTAATGTAAATTTTCTGTCTTCGGCCGCCATTGTTGCAACCACCGCCGACGATGCCTTTTGTGTGCTACCACCTATTCCGCATAAATCATGCTTCACATGCCTCTTTTTTAACTTTAAAAGCTGTACCATTTGCTCTGTTATCAAATTACTTTGGGAACCAGAATCTAAAAGTACGCGTCCCGGGACCCATTGCCCTGATTCGCTGCGCAATGATACCATTGCCGTCGACAGTAATACCTTGTCGTCCTGTATAACCGATGTATGCGCGCTTAACGATGTTGATGCTTCAATTACTTCACTTGTCGATACATTTGCGACTGTTGACTGAACTGTTGTATTATCTTCGATTACTGTATTTCTCCCTCCTGACAGGTGCAATAGCGTGTTATGCGCTTTAGCGCATTTAAAACAGAATTTTGCATTGCATTTTTTACTCTCGTGTTGGCGTAAACAAATTTTACATAACTTCAACTCTGTTACGCGTTTTATTCGCTCTGGTACGGTCAAACTATAAAATTTAGGACATTTATAAATCGTATGTGCCGATTTACAAACGTAGCATTCTAAATTTGACGTCGACGCGAATAATTGTGACGTTCCTCTTTTTTCGATATATTTTTTTTCGTTTGATGTCGTAATTGTGCTACCTTTAATATTTATATTTTTCACGGCTTCAATTGATTCCAAAATTTTATACCTTGACTCTAAAAATTTAATTAATTCTAATAATTTTGGCACTTCAGTACCGTGCGCTCTCGATTCCCACTCTTTTAATGTAGTCTTATCTAATTTAATTAATATTACATGTATTAGTAGTGGTCCCCAATTTGTGGGTTTTTGACCCAGCGCCTCTAACGCACGCATATGTCCATTTAGTGCATCTGTAAACTGTCTTAATTTTTTCGCCGAGTCGCCGCCCACCGTTTCGAGATCATAAATCGCTTTTACATGTGCTTGAACCAACACCCTTTCATTATTGTACCGCGTGATTAACGATTGCCATGCTACGGTATAATTATTAGATGTTGTTTCCAAACATTTTATCGAACTCAATGCCTCACCTGATAACGATTCGCGTAAATAAAAGAACTTTTCTATCGCCGTTAACGACACATTGTTATCTATTAGTGCCGAAAATATATCGTAAAACGATGCCCATTCTTGATAATTACCGGTAAATTCCGGTACGCTCAACGACGACAACTTTACCGTCAACAATGCTTTATTCATACACGCATTAGGTATATCGATGTCCGAATTTTTATTTCTACTCTCGTCTTGAGATACAGTTGAGCCTGCTGCTATCATGATTTTCTCTGCTGCAGCAATAGTTTTAAAGTATAAGTCTTCAAATTCCATTCTATACTTGTTTTGTACATCGAGACTGATCCCCTCTTCCATTTCTATGGCCGCTTGAACCTGTTCATATTCTGCCCATGACTCTTCTATTTTTTCACGCCGCGCTTTTACCTCAGTCGAATCAACACTTTGCGATTGTAGATAATTTGAAAATCTTGTTATCGACGCTTTCAATTGTCCTCTTCTCGTTATCATGTTCTCTTGTCCCCCCCATCTTCGAGACCAATGTTCAACTATGTGATCTAAGAGATAGATAGAGAGGGAGAGAGAAAGAGAGAGACTATACTGTACTATGACCTTATACTTATCTGTACTATAAAATATATACTCGGGTGAAACCGCCTAGGATTAATTTAGGAATAAAATGGAAAACGCCTTACCTTATATTCCCGTGGGTGAACTTTACTTCTGTGGACGAACTTTACTTCTGTGGACTGTATTTTCGCACGATCTTTCACATTTTTCGCTGATCAATACACTTATGGCCCTTTTTTTTTTTTTTATCGGTAACTGATTGACCCAATAACGCTTGATCGAATATTAATAATACTTAATTCGCACTAATTCACGACTTACGATTTGAATCCCAGACGAAGGACCAATGATTACGATAGCTCAATGCTTAATTTAATAAAACAATAACATTGAATTAATATTATTTCTCTTTATTCGCTAGTTCATAATCGAATATTAATATTGAACGGCTACGACGAGTACGTTACACTGGTACGGTTTTATTGCGACTGCGACGGCCGATCGCCCGTCATCGAAGACCGCTCTATCGGACGTATCTTATCTTACATTTATACTCTATACAAATAATCGTTTCGGTATCTACCAATTTTATTATATAAGTAAAATATCTCGCGTACGCAACACATTTAATTTTAAAATAAATATTACTTATTATTCGTTCATTTTTTATACTACACAAAAAAGGTAAAAATTCATTTTAAGAATTAAATAAAAAAATTATTTTTAAATTTGAGTTGCCTTGAGAGTTTAATTAGTTATATTATTTTTTTCTATTCATACCCTCTTTGCCAAATCCAAATTCGCTAACAACTCAGTTTTAAAATACTTTTAAGTTTTAATATTATTTTGTTAATAAAGTTTCAATTTTACCGATTCGCCTGGGTGTAACAGCGATGATATTGTGATATCAACATATGTTGTCAATATAAGTTCAAAGATACTATTTTTTTAAGAGTACTATAGGTATTAATCTTATATTATTTACCATCAATTGTTCTTATTATTCTTTTTTTATGTAACAGATCGGATAAAAACTAATGAACCAAAAATAAACTATAGGTACTAATTGAAATTATCTCTAGGTATAACACATATTAAAAAAACTTAAAATAAACAAATTTAACATAAAATGAACGTAATATTTGTAAAAAAATTGCAAGAAATGCAAAAAATGGAAAATAAAAATTATATATTCAAAATTGTTATATCACGAAACAAATTTAGTTTTTCATTAGAACTGTATAGGACTTTAAGAAAAAAAATGCAAAAGTCACCAAAATCCTAACTCAATAATGAGTCATTAGTCATTGTAGATACAACTAATAGAAGGCAAAACAATGGTTATAGTTACCAACAAAATATAATTGACTATTTTATCACTATTTTTACTTATCGTATTATATTTTTAGTTTGGCCGTCTAGTGTCAACGACTTGTAGCAGTCGTCAACATCAACATATAGACTTAAAAAAAGAAGTAAAACAAATCAATGTTAGCGGTGTAAAAATTGTATCTTATATTATTATCACGACTGCCGACAGGGAAATGGAAACTGCATCAAGTAAAAATTATGTTCCGGAAATTGATCTTTACCCAATCGAAATTGTACCAACGTCCAAGTCCAAGTTTGTTGCAAGGTGGACGAAAGACAACAACAAGATTTGCGGTGGACTGTCAGACCAGGAAGCCGTACGGCGATTGAGACTACATGTTCTCGTTAGGCCGCAACGGCCTGCTTTTCAGCCGGCAATACTGTCGACGGAGCAAGATGATATGATCAACGGCGAAAACTATGACATGCAGCAACAGGCATACGACTATACGAGCAAGATCAGGTAAAGCAATAAGTAATAACGCGTTCGAACACGGAACACTTTTGCATTTTTGCTGCCAGCACTTATCATTAAGACTCCTTCAAGCTGCGCTGCGGCCGTAGAAACTTCAATGAACGGCTCTATTCTTCCTAGCGAGCCATCGAGTTCGCCGGTGATCTTGCCGCCGGCCCGGTTGTTTAATTGTGCGTGCCGCCGTGAAAATCTCCAGTGATCACGAGACTTGTGTTTTTGTCGTTGCCGCAATCAGCCGGCATCATCAGAATCATAAGCAAGTAAACGATTTTTTGTTTTCCGTCTTAGAGGTTGACCACAACGCAGCGTCGCGTACGTTCACCGCGAGTGCCTCCGCAATACTTCGTGTGATCACGACGATACGTGATAATATCGTATTTGTCATTGTCGTGATCAGCCGACATACCCAATTTGTCAAAATTGACATCTCGTTAATTATATTATTGTGAGGGCCATCAGGTTTTGCCGGTTTTGGTTTCCGTCGTGGTGTTCCCTGTTCCGGGAAGTGCCGCCGACTTGTGTGGAATAAACTCGCGGTATCCACTCGTCGAGCAGTCGCAGTGGTATCCACTCGTCGAACAGCCCCAGTGGTTTCCTCTCGTAGACCGAAGTGCGAGAGAAGCAAGAAGACGCCTGTTCGCTATCGCAGTTTCAGCGATGTACCGCCACTAGTGGCTAATGGCTTTTGCCGTGGTCAAGGTCATATGTTTTATATAAAGTTCTCCTCTTGTTCAGTGGGGCACACCAAATCGTATTTTATATGAAGTCGTCGCTGTAGTATTTAGTTCTTAAGGATTATTGTTTGGTTTTGACTTTTGAGTAATGACACTATCGTAATATAATGTTGGAACACATGCACAACCATACAATTTAATTGTGTACGTCATCATCAACGTTTACAATTACTTTGGTTTTGACTTTTGGGCATAGGCGTGCGCAAGGAGGCAGCAGAGGCAGCACATGCTGCCCCAGGACTTTCTTTCGGGCTACCGCGGCCGGCAAATATTGAATAATGGACCTCGCTAAAATTATGCTTACAAAAAAAATGACCATTGTAGATAAAAAAATTATAAAATTGTATTATGTGCGCGCCCCACATAACATTTTCCTATGTTACAAACTTCTATAAATAGGTATTGAAGTTGAGTTGAATTTGAAAGGTTCGGAAAATAAGATTCAATAATACTAGAATCAGTGTTTATTTTTAAACTTTACATTAAAGTAAATTCTTAGTGTTCCATAAACACATGATTTAGTTTAGATTTTAAATATTAGAAAGTTAATTAGTATTAAATGCTGAATAAACTTACAATAACTAACATTTAAATAGAGTATCATGTATAAAGTTTATTAAACCTAAATCTATAAACATTAATATTAGGTTACCAGGTTGACACTTTGCATGCATTGAATTTAAATTGAATTGTAAAAATGTAAATATGTTTACTTAAGTATTTATTTAATGCTTAATACAATTTCTTGCACATTGTTACACAAAAGATGTATATAATAATAATATATATGTATAGTAGTAATATAATAATAACAAAGAGAAACAATCCGAAATGTGTAAAATTATGTGAATAAAATCTTCAATTCGAATTTCGGCTAAAAATATGTGGATACACCAACAACTAAAAGTAATAATGTCATTCATTATCATTAACACTATTGCTAACAGGGTTTCTGCGCCGGTGCTGCTATTAGGTTCGTACATCATGTGCACGCCAATATTTACACAACAGTCAATGTCATTGATGGGTTCGACTCGACAGTTTGTGAAATAATAATGTGGCAATGTGCCTCTCTCGCGACTATGCAGCGTGAGCCTCGTCACGGAAAAAGTGGGCGTCGTTACGGCCAGCCGCGGCGGCGACGATATATATCATAGCGCACAACGCCAACTCTGGAGCGTTGGTTACGTTTTACCTTTACTGTGACGGCCTTTTACTGTGCGCGATAACAGTGTTTAATACTGTTAATGTAAAGAACACAATACGCACGTAGAATATGCTTCAATGTAGAGTACCCAGTGGCTAGTGGGTAGTGATCAATACGTTAAAATAATCTTCGAGAGACAAAAATAATTTATGCTAGTCAAACCTATTGCAACGATGTTTTGTTGATTTTGTAACGGCCAGAAAAATATTAGGAACTCTTTAAATACTATTATATATTATGCATTAATTTCAAATTAAAAAAATCAAACCAGACGTTTTGTTTATACGACTAAGACTAAAAATGACTCATTGATAATTGATGATTTACTTGATTATCATACCTAATAATAATTTGTGAAAATGTGAACTAAAGAATTATCTCATATAATGCATTATATGTTTATCTGTGGATTTACCTCATGGCTTATATAGTCTATTAAATACAAAGTGTATTTATAATTAATACTACTTGCCAATACAATATTATGACATCGGTGATAATAATATAGATTGAAATTAATATAAGTCTAAGGAGATGTCGCATTGTTGTATAATAGGACATAGGTCACAAATGCCAAGTGGGTCACTGTAATGAATGGTGTTGAATTTAAATTCAATAATATCAAACGATTGTATATGAAAAACTATAATGAGCTTAGACGCGTGGTCACTGGTCAGTCAGCCTATGATGTTATTATGATTTCAGTAATTTATTTTACTTTTAGAAATTAGTATTACAGTAGGTTAACTCATTTTTTGCTAAAAACAATAATTATATATTTTGCGTTAATACATTAAACCTACCTTATACCTACTCTTTCATTTTTTTGAAATAAAAAGTCAGCTACCAAAACTTTTCAGTTGGAGAGAAAATCAATTAACTTTGTAGGTACCATAATAATAGTTCATTATAATTTATAGTGAATGTTTATATTATCTAAGGTTGCAAAATGATATAATAATATATTATTATGTATCAAATTTAGTTTTTACACCCCTTAATTAACCTATAATATAGTAGTATTTTATATTTTACTATTCCAGTTTAAAAAAATAATATTTTAGTCTTGGCAAAGAAGGTAATTAATAAAATAAAATATTTTAAAAAGCATCAATAATTTTTGATAAAATGGATTTCTTATGTAAAATGGACCACTGGATATATAATATCATATAAATTGAGTAAATTGTAAGAACTTGAACATGGCTTTTTTCAAAATAAATTGTAGGGATAAAATAGTAAATATATTTGATTACAAGTTGGAACAATTACATTAGGTACTTGTTTGTTATCGACTCGCCAGTACGACGTTAAAAATTTATCTCCCCGCCACTCTTGTTTGCTATCGCATAAATCACGTAAAATATAAACTTGAAAATGTTCATGTTTACTAATAGTGGATACACTGATCAGTTATATTTCATTACAAAAGTACACATTTGGAATCAATGATAAATAAATATAATTTAAGAATAACATGATACATTTTTATAAGCCCGATACAATCTGTAGTCATCAGTCTTATCAATGGCAGCATGGGGCTGATGGTTATGTTATAAGTCAGTGACATTTGTTCAATCTCATAATACAAAATATTGTTAATTTAGCTCATATAAATACAAAATATACCATCATACTCGGCTCTAAGGTACAATGTTTTCAGCTAACTCTAAAATAGATTCATTGAAGCTAATAGAATTCAAAGATGTGAAGGAAGTGTTGACGTTTAATAGATCATCCAAATTATTAACACTATTGGACGGTATATCAGTGTTCAGATCCTAGAACATAATTTTTATTAATGGCTTAATCTAGACAAAAAATAATTTTCAATTTTTATAATGGATAGTTTACACACCTTGACTTGATTGGTAATTAAAAATAAGTCCTCTGTTCTATCGCATGGCTGTAAATCATTATCGTTAATTATTGTAGCATTTATGAAATCAATTTCTGAACCGCCTTTTTGGAATTTGGTAGTCAGCTCCCATACTGTAGAATTTTTATCTTTCATATGTATCTATAACAAAATATAACAATAGAATTGAGCTAGTATAGATGTTTTTGATACATTTTGCATATATTTTTTAGGTGATTGTATATTTATATGTATTGTATACTAATTTTCGCACAAAATACATTTCAACATTGTAAACATAACCAAATAAATTGTTCATACATATTTCAATAATTTTAAGCATGTTTTGAGTATCTTAATAGATCAATTCGCAAAATTAAAATGTATGATAAACTTACATTAGTCAAAAGGATTTTTTTAAAACATAAATTATTTTATCTTCAAATTCTAATAGTAAATAAAACAAATTTTATTACATCACTAATTGCCTTCATTATTAAAATTTAATTTGACTTAGTTAATAATAGAAAATATACTAATTTTATACTTTACTTTTCTATGTTTGTTAAAATTTGAGACTGTGGCAAAATCCTTGTTACACACATCACAATAATAAGGTTTTTCCCCTAAAAAATTAAATTGAAATGGTTTTATATAATTTCAGTAGTAAAATAAGAATACATATTAAACTTTAAACAAGATGTTTCAAAAAAACTATATAGTCACCTGTATGTGTACGAGAATGTCTGACCAACGCTGTACGGTCAACAAATTTTTTTGGACAATATTCACAGTTGTACTGTCGATCATTGTAATGACGCCTTAAATGAATTTTTAAAGTATTATTATGTGGGAATGATCGTTCACACACTAAACACTTGTAAGGTTTAGCACCACTATGACACCGAATGTGAGTTTTCAACTAAAAACATAATCTTAAACTAGACAATAATCCAAAATTAAATAAATTTGTTATATATAAACCTGAGATGATGTTCTAAATGATACTGTACAATATTCACAACAGAAAGGTTTTTCTCCAGTATGTATGCGCATATGTTCTTGTAGGTTTCCATTTTGATAATAGCTTTTCTTACATACTTTACAGACATACTTTTTATCACCTAAACAAATAATAAATAATAAGTATAAATTGAAATAAATTCAATAATTTACATATTATAAGTGGTTTTTGGTTCTATTGTCTTGGACCAGGTCCGAGATCTTGCAGGTGTGAAGAATTGTTTTTGTAAAAATGTGAATAACGGCTCAATGGTGGCGTGCGCGTTATGATTGACTTTTAATTTACCAATTAACCAATTATAGTTTACTAGGAGTCCTTAAATTTGTTACTTAAATAAAAAGCTTTTTAATAGCACTTGAATCACAGCTTATACATTATGTAAAGTCAAAACTATGTTAAAATTCTATCTATTTCTTATAATGAACTAGTAAGATTCATAGCAGGTGACACAGGCTACAATTAAACTATTTACCTTTATGTGTTTTTAAATGAGTATTAAGCCCATTTTTTTGGGCAAATGTTTTCTTGCAATGTTCACACGAAAATCTTTCAGCAACTTTAATTGTTGAACTACCACTTTGGCTTGGTGGTTCTTCAGTAACTATAAAGATATAATTGACAATTGTATATATTATTCAATATTATGTAATTTAAAATGAACCCTTTTTAATTACCATGATGGTTTTTCAAATGAACCTTTAAGTCATTTTTGTCAGCTAATGTTGAGCCACAAGTCTCACATACAAATTCCACGTCATTACTCTTAGTGTTTATATTATTCTTGAAATTAGTGATTCTTTCATCAACCAGAGGTATATATTCAGCTGAAGAAAGCTGTTTAGACTTGTACATTTTATAAATATTTTTGAGAAACATTTGACCATCTAATAAATCATCAATAAATTTCACTAACATGTCCAACTGGCATTTACAGTTTGAACATATAGTTCTTGGGTATTCGTCATCATCAGAAACCTGTCACATACACAAGTAAATTAAAAAATAAAATTACAAAATTATTACTTTTATTTTTGCTAAACAATCAATAAAATTGTTGTATAAGAAGTGTAAGTAAGGGTTAGAAGCTTACTTAGTTACTAAGTTACTTATAGCCTTTTGACTAGGCGCCTGATGCAAATGTGATTTTGTCGGGAAGTAGATTAATGAAAAAGTATTATAATTAAGGTGGCAACTAGAATATTGTTTTAAAATTTTATAAATTTGCTGAAATTTAAAAAAAACCGACAATGGTAACCCTAACTTAACTAAAAATTATACATAAATCATGTAAGTTAAAAATTATTATATAAATATAGATCAATTTGTTAAATAATCTAAAATCCTAGTCATAAGATTAGATGAGTTCAACTTCATATTTACTTGAATAGGCAAATAGCGGTTGATTAAATCCGCAATAGTCAATTCAGCAGCATCTACTTTTCTGTATATCAGGAACCTTGAGGAGTTGCTTAGTCCACAAAGTCGACAAATGTCTGATTGACTTAATGAAAACATTTGGTCTGAGATTTCCATTTCTCGTATGGCCATGTTTATCTTATATAAAACAAAGTCTAATAAAAAATAAAAATAAATAACCAATTACATTGGTAATTTACTACCTACCAGTCTATACTCGGTTTATTATTTAAAACATTTTCAATAGCTTCAAAACTGATTTAGTAAGCCGAAGAGTAACAGAGAAGATTTATAACTTATATCACTGAAAAATTAGCAGTTTTTACTTTTTAATGAACTGGGTTTGAATCCTTTAGCCTTTTCAATGATTTATAATTTATTACCGTGATATTGTATCAATGTGAATCAAGATCCATAAACTATGAGTTATGAGTAGGTATGATTGTTGAGTGTCGAGTATAATAAATGAATAAATAATAAATACTAAAATATGTTTAAATACTAAATAGGTATCAGTTACTAAAACTAAATAGTAAATAGCGTTATCACTAGTCAGAGACCTCAGTTCTCGGACTGCGGAGGTGTGAGCGCCGAGCGGGATTACGAATTTTACTTTAAGTGATAATGTAGTATCTCGCGGACTCAACTGCCCGATGCCCGTATCTCGCATTGTCACCACTCTGAGCAAAATAATATGTATTACGTACCATATTTTATTGTGTACCATAAAATATTTTGTAGTATAATATTATTATTTTATTTTATTTGGACATTTGGTATTTTATATTTTCTTATAACTTACAAGTAATAATAAATAAGCATTAATAATATAATAATTACAATAGTTTCGAAAATGAATATTAAATTTGACCATTTAGGCGTTTCCTATTATACTCGGGGAAGATTTAGAGCCGGATGAGTTGTAACTTGTAGGAGGGCCCTCGCGCCTCGCGTTTTACATGACGTCGTTTAATAGGCTTAAATAATATATGTGAACAAAAAATAAAAATGTGGGATGGTAAACTAGACAATGTACGTCAACACGTGATTCTGTAGTTATACTGATTAGTGATTACTGAAGTCGGTATCAAACGATGACAGGAACCAACGAGATGGATCAGCCATCAGAGTATACGACTGCCGACCAGCCGCGCACAGCTTACCACAGACCACGACTATAATTATATTAATATTGTGTTCTTCGATTTAATTTAATTTTTCGACAAATTTGTCTCAACAAAACGTTATTTACCTTTTCCGCGGAGTGTCGTTTGATGTAGCGGTGATTGGCGACGAGTGACCGATTATTGTAATAGGTATAAAAAAACAAATACTGAAATATCTATAATGAACCAATATCTACATAATGTTGGAGTAATGATGTATAATGTGTATTCTGCAATCTACCTACATAATTTGTAAGCAATAATGTTTGCAATTTTTCTGGGTTGAGTTACAATTATGATACGAAAAATAGAATTTTTATACTAAGCGCAATAAAGTAATTTCATAATGATGGTGGGGGTCTGGGTAACAAAGACCCCATCTATTTTAGTGAATTTTGGTGTTAGGTATATCATTGTAATTTGATTTTTTACAATTTTATTATTTTGTATTATAATATACTATGTAGTTTAGTTCATGCAATCTCTGTTATTACTATCCTAGTTTTCGTAAGTTTCTGTATTATTGTGCCTTCGCCCATTATAGATGTATCTAATAAATCATTAAATCAAATAATAATTTTCGTAATGAACTGATTAAAATTCTTTTAGATACCTTGATAGGTACTTTTTAAAAGTAACTTTCTCAACACTACGTACTCCATAAGGAGGTACCTACTTAAGCTTGAAAAAATAAACATAATTAAAAGTCCCTATAAGATACATTTTTCGACTAAGATTAATATTTTTTAAGTCAAGTGGGTGTCTAGCTACCTAGGTAGGTATCTATTTTATATTTTGTACAGGTAATTATTCAATTATAAATCAATGTAGGTTTTAATTGATATTGTGTACCTATTAAAACTTTTTACTATCATCAGATAAGATATCGATCAAATTATGTAGAAAATTAAGACTAAATATAGTTAGGTGCATAGTATAATGTTCTAATATTGCCTTCCTATATCATGCTTACAGCCTACTTACCTATAGCAGCTACAGGGTTTGTCAACTTAATATTCAGAATTGGTTATAACCCTTAATTTAATTAGAAAAAATAATTTAAATATTTTCAATTTTTGCCTTTGGTTTGGACACCCGGGTGGGCGCAGCTTTATAATATTATACTTTGACCTATTATCAAACTAAAAGTTAAAAGTAAGGATGTTATCTTTTGACCCTTTTTACATTGGCTTTTTTACCATATTTTAATACATCTATTTTGAGCATTTTTAAATTGTGCCTGATGTAAAACGTTCAAAATATATATTACTAGCTGACCCGGAGTCCGGAGATGCTTCGCTATTGCAAGATTTCTCAGATATTAATTTAATATTTATTTTCTTGATGTTAAATAATTATTTTTATTTTAGACAAATTTTAGTCACGTCTCCGTGGTCATGTAGCCCCATAAATTTAGCATCTCCACCGCGGATCCTTTATAATGTTGAAAAAAAATTATATCGCTTACTATATTCAAAAAGACTGCAAGCCACGTGGTAAACCTGACCCTATACTTTAAAGGTAGTTTTACTTTCGTCTAGCCATTTTCGAAAATGAGAGTTATACGTTAGTAATAACCTTCAATCAAATGTACAATCAATTATACCTTCAAATGATAAAACCAACCAACAATCCACAATTGATAAACAACAATCAAAATGGTCGCCAAACAACGTGAGAACACAATACCCGCGGCATAAAATGTATATATAGGTTCACAATTTACAAATTTATTTTAATTAATAATAACTAATTACTTATTAACTTGATTGGACTCAATTTATTCCCAAAACCTTCTTTGTGATGTCCTCTTTAATTAAAAAAAATTGCACGACCATCCAATAAGTAGTTTCGGAGTTTACCCCGAACATGCAAACAAACGCTATCATTTTCTATATTAGTAAATTCGTAAATGTAGATATAGGTTAGGTACCCATCGGCTATCTTTCATTAATTGTCGTATTTTTTTTAATCAGTTTTTTCCTATTATGTTCTTATTAGTTAGTTTATCTCTGAGTTTATACTAGTGATGGCTACATGTTACATGATAAGGTAACCTTGTACATATGTAACCTGTGCACTTGGGCTGTAAAATGAATGTATTATAGGTACTTTTAATATACCTTACCTAGTTACCTATATTAAATTCAATTAGTTTGTATTTAGTCGCTATTTACTTGATTTCTTGACATATTATTATGCGCTTTTACTCATTTTTATTAAGTGTAGTATAATAATATTTAATAATTAGGTAATAGTGTGTGTTAAGTTATATTCGTTGGACCAATAGGTATGCTAGTTTAATCCATAAGCATGCATGGAAATGTTCGGTAATTTGACTTAAAAATAATAATAATAATAATTCTACCATAATTCAAATTATTTACTTATTACTTCCTTCCGAAGATCAAAAAATCGTTTTAATACTTTTCGTAAACTTAACCACCGAACATTGGTTATGAATTTGATACAACACATCATGTTCCTTTTCAATTTCATTTAAAAATTATATAAACCGCATGTTTTAATCCATGAGATCTAATAAAGTTGATTTTTTTTGTAATAACTTTTATTACATGTTCCAAGTTCATAATTTTACCCCACAGAGATAATTGTTGCCGAATAATACAGTGTACAAATATAGGTGTTTCGCAATCATTTTTGAATTTGTTAATTCTGCTATCTTTCCAACTAATCCTGCATATATATCCTGTATTCTTCCAACCATGTTTGTACCTCCATATTTGTTGTAATACTATAAAGTTTTTCCTAGGTCAGTCCTAAAATCTTAGTACAAAAATAAAAATGTCTCTTTTTAAAAATATTGCTCCTGTTGTAGTTCCAGAAATACTTTCTAATGAAACAAGTTCTTCTGTTCTATAATAATCTGTATCTATTCGTCATATAATTATTGATGACTGAGCAGTATCTGTTAAATCAGTGCTTTCGTCCAAAGCCAAAGCAGAAATTTGAACGTTTTTGATTTCATTTGTAACTGCGTCATTAAATTACCTCTTATGTGTTACACCCGCCTAGTAATAGTGTTTCGAAGACGAACTGATATTTTCAAATCTTGAAATTTGTTTTTGAATAATTTCTTTGCAAAGATACATTTTTTTAACGAATTCACTATCATTAAACCTTTTGTTTTCGCAATATCAGGTTAGCTACTTCGTAACTTGCTCAAATGATCTTCCCCCTACCTCTAATTATGTTTTTCAACAAATTTCCAACTCGTTCACTTTTGAAGTGAACTGTGAAGTTTTGTTTTTCTAACAAAGAAATTTTAAGATTCCTTAATAAAATAAATGTAAGCAATTATTTCTAAATTTACTTACCTACCTAAAATAACCTCTTCAAAAAATAAAAAAAATAACTATAAATATTATTTACCTTTACAATTGACATATTTGCCTTGATATTTACTTTCATAGTGTCTTTTAATATTAAATTCTTAAAAGACCTCGAGAGTTTCGTAGCATATCAAACACATGGCTTATTTATTATGATACTCAATATTAAAATAGACAAGACTCCAACTATCTTTAAAAACACGAATTTCAGTATCAATTTTGAGCTTTTTATTTTGAGACATTTTAGTAATTAAAAATAATGAATTATTTTGTGTGGACAAGAAGTACGAAACTATAGTTTTGAATAATAAAAACACACGCTGGAATGCAGAGGTTTTAAGGTACCCACGGTATATAATTTGTGATAAAAGGAATGTTGAGAAATAAATCAAAGATAGGTTTGTAAATCGATACGGATATACTTAAGTTAAAAATTATGATTAATACTTTACTTAGTAAATAATGTGTTTGCTGACAATGCCTGACATTAAATCTTCCCATTATACTCTGATATAGTTATTATAGGTACCTACTTGGTTGGTTTACTGTTATATGCAACATGCAAAATATTATAATATAGGTAGGTACAAGGTAGCATGTATTATTATATCATATATAATATATTCTACGTATGATTTGTTTTTTTATATAGTACACACTTGAATTTTATTTTATTTTATTTGTTTAACTATTCTATCTGTTTAATGCATCATATATTGTATTACATGATTATCTGTTGAAAGAGTACCTATTCTAATCATCTCGTCTAGTCGTGTAGGTATGAAAAACAGAGGAATGGTACCTACAGTGGTCTTCATTTATTTTATACTATTATGTAGGTACCTATATTAAATATTTTAACCATGATAAATAAGTTTTATTTTATTGTAAATTTATAAAAGAACATTATGACGTGACATTCTTAGAAATACTACTAATAGTTTATACTATATAGAAAGTTAAGACTAAACTCATCCTTTATGTTTTTAGATAAATGTAAATATCAAACTTCGAGGTGTAAGACACCAGTCGATATTGAACAGTCAAGTTAAAAAAGTTTCATGGAGATGGAGAAACAAAATGAGTGGGTACCAACTATAAAAATACGTTCATTACCTATTTATAATTACGAAATAAAATAAGATATAACAATAAGTAACTCATTGTTACATAGTTTGATAGATTATAGAATGTAGAAACCATAATATATAAAGACAGAACCTAGAAATATTTCAATTTATTTATACATAATCGTCAATTATATTATAAATAAATATATACTGGGTGTAGTTAAATATATAACATTTAAAACATTAATCTCAATACTATCTTAAAATTAGTCTAATGTAACAAGCCAATTAGGTACATTATGTTTAAAAATTGATAAAATATACTTTATAGCTTATACACAATAATTTAAATATATATTTAATGGTTAATGGTTATATTATTAATTATTATACGTATATCTAAATCGATTAATTAAAATGTATTGATAAAAATTTTAATTATGTCTTTATATAAGACAAATGTACATTGTACATTTTCTTTAACAAATTAATGTCGTAGTTGAAGATTCAATTCCTCCGTGTCCTATTTGAAAACATTATTAATACCAAAGTAAGTTGTAATAGTATTTTTATATAACAAAATAAAATATAATATGTAAATTGTACCTTATATTTATTTTATTTGTTTGGTGCGTCGCGTATTACCTTATTTAGAACTTTAATACAATGGCTATATATAAAAACGCTGTACAGTATATTTTAATATTATCCTATTATTGGCATGATAGTTTTAATAAAAATACAATACACCCACGTGGGTATGCGACTTCTATCATAATAAATATCTTTTATGCACCTATATTCTATAACCTACAAATTATTTACAAATATACATTTTAAAAATGTATATGAAAATTAGTAGACATAACAATAATTTGGAGTACTTCGTTTTTGGTTAACATTATAATATTGTCATGTAGATGGAGCTGTGGAAGTTTGGACTGTTTTCTGCGTATCCCTAGGCTAAACTCTATTATAGGGGAACTTCGATAGTAGGGTGACACGGGGGATGCTCAGAATTGGCGCTTTCTCTCACTAGTAATAGAGTATACATCAAAATTTTAACGAGCAACAAATTTTGGAGTTATTTAATCTTATGTTCTAAGGATAATAGTTTCGGAAGACATTGCTATGTGGGAGCCATGATTATGACTAGAAAACGTCAGTAATTTATAAAATATTAACATTTTATGATTTGTAAAAATTGTCAAAGTATAATAAATTAATAAGCATCTACTAGATTAAATATTATATAATATATTTTATATTTTTGTAAAACCATTTTTATGTTTCTTAAAATCTTGGAGAAAATATGGTATAAATTATTTACCTTTACTCTTTAATCACCGGGCAATAAAAAAAATGTAAAATCATTAGCTGCCAAAAATTATGATAATCACTCGCTGGCTTTACTACGTCGACTTTACTAGTACCCGGTGTTAAAAATAGTGTTATCTTTTCATCAAATTGAATAGTCGAATAGTCGATAGCTAATATGTACATACTGAACTTTGTATGTATATATATTATACATTATATTAGGTATATGGGGAAACAGGTCACAACGTACACTAACGATTTTAGTTTTAATTTGTTACATTCTGAATTGATTTTATTTTATTTTGACTTGCTGACCCAATGGTATACTACCAGTAGTCTACCTATAAATTGTCATTCGTCTGGCGAAATAATGAATTATGAGTCTGAAAACAATTCATGAATCATGGTATAGATAAATTATAGGTGAGCAACATGTCAACTTGGAATGGTCGTAAAAGTCAAATTACCATCTTTATAGCCATTTATCATTTGCAATAATTTAAAGACAATTGTAAATTACTAATATTGAATTCTTTATCTAAATATTAGTAGTAAAATAATATATATATTAATAATAATTTGTATTATTTATACTCCTTGATTATATGACGCATGCACATTGTATAGTCGTTATTGTCACTTGTCACGTCATAACGTCAGTAGAATGAACGACTAAAGTAGTGGTTCTCCGCAAGGCTTAAATATTTATGCCAGGGTCCTCCGTGTTTAATGTAATGTTGTTATTAACAATATTGTTGCTAAAGATGTACAAATAATATTTTATTATAATAATTTAAAACCGATAGTTTGTGGTTTTTGAGTTTCGAAGATCGAGAAGAAAAATTTTATAATTTTATTTAGTAATTTAGTATATTAAATTATAACAAAGAATACAAAAGAAAAACTAAGAACCATTTATTTCTTCGACATTATACTTATAGGTACTCATAGTAGGTACTCGTAGTATACTGTATTCGCATATATGTATAGTTCATATGTATTATATGTGTTAGTGTATTGCCATGTAGGTATAAACTAGTTATAACTGTACGCCTGTACAGTTTATGAACTTTTATTACTTAGGTAGGTATTAGTGTATTACTATTAGTTATAACTTATAATACTATTTTGAGGCAATAATGTTGTGATAAATCTGTCCAGTTAAATTAATTAAATAAAATGTATTTACTATATTTACAATAATTTACATGTTGCGTAGTTCGTACATTATTAATACAATAGGTTACTCGTGAGTCATGATTGACATTTGACTTTAAATGACTGAAAATAATTCGATATTATAATTGAAATGTTTCGTTTTGCTTCTTATATTTTATGTCTTGAATTTAATATTGATACACATATTGAAATATGTATATGTTATATAGTAATTATAATTGTATTAACATAGTTAGAATATGCTTCTGAAATAAATGTGTCTTATAATTACATCAGCTATCAGGATAGTTTGTTATGTTTTGAAGAACTATTGAAACGAAGTTATCTTTGTTACAGGCTATATAGTAGGTAGTAGTAATACGTAATACGAAATTACGAAGGCTGTATACTAATAACTACATATAACTATATAAGTGTATACCTAACTGTATGTCTGTAAAATAGCTAAATGCTCAATGCCTCAATAAATACATATTGTATAATATATAATATTATATACATAGTAAAGCTATGTTATAACTTATAAGTAAATAAGTTATAACTATAATATACATTATAAAGTTTATGGTTACCGAACACTTATAAAGTTATAACTATCTAATCTACCTACTATAAAGCTGAGATTTCGATGTTCACTGCATTGTTTTCCGAATCCAGCTATAAACGAAGCTCGTTATATAACATACATGTTTCATGTATTTATAAACTAGAATAAGGAGTCTTAATTTTGTATTTTTTGACGATTTTAAATTTTAAGATCATGTTTCTGACAACTTTGACATTTTTCAATCCAAATTTTAGTTTAAGATTTTTTACATAATTTTTATATAAATTTCACAAACTATCACTATATGTACACTATACAGGTAAATAAATATATAACTTAAGCCTATAAGAAAAAAAATGTATTCCAGATTATAGAAGTCCTAAACGATCAGTTCTATTTATAAAACTTTTTCTAATCCTAAAATGTATATTATCGTTTATACAAAATGTATATTAGAATTTATACCAAAAAAATTAAAAATAGAAAAAAATGTAGTAGCTGCATTTTTCAGCATTAGAGCATAAAAAGCATTTTTGAAAATTTTCAGGACATTAAAATCCTAGCCTCAATGTAACTATGTAACTTGTAAGTACTAAGTTGTAAATATTAATGTATAATATTATTATAAACTATAGTCCGGCCAACGTAAAGTAGGCCGCACTATAATAACTATAATTGTTTTAATATAAAAACTATTTTGGATTATTGGGTTTAGGTACATCCATGGCCCATCCAAATTTCAACAATATTTTAAGTTATTGCGCATTCTGACACTGATTTATTGTAAATAATACAATATTTATTTGAATAATTCATTATCGTAAACAATTTTAACATCTTACGGCTTCCTAAGATTTATAAGCAAATATTTCTGGTTTGCTCTTATGGTAACACTCATCGCTATCAATGACATAATAATAAAAATAATAAAAGTCGATCCGTTAAAAAAAATGATAATAACAATAAATAAATAACAATATAATAGTATAATAATACGCTCCTACCTATGAAGTATATTATAGTTCCTTAAATATTAAATTTTTTTTATTGTCGTAAATTGATTTTATTATGTGTTCCTTGTTGATACTGTTTGCCTCTTAAATTATTTAAATGTCTATAAAAACCGAAATGTTGAAACACTTGAAATTCACTAATCGTTCTAAACGTCGTGCAGTTCAATTAATTAAACTTAAACACAATAGATTTACCATTGATATAAGTAAGTTACCTACTCGCCTATATTTTATTATGTTTCATATTGACAGAAATGTTTAAAATTATTTTAAGCGTACCTACTTTTACTGAACTGAGAATTAGAAAATAATTTATATAAATTGGACTACGCTGTGAATCAAAATGAATTTCTGCTTATTGTGTTAACCATAGTTTATTTCATTTTATTTATTTCCTAAGATTATGTATATTTTATAATTTAATTAATTCGTATTGGATAAAAAACTACAAATATACGAGTATAGTACTTTTTCAAATAGTCATACTTTTAAAATAATTGATTTAATTAAAACGTTATATATTCAAAATGGGTGCGGCTTTCTTCATTGTTAAAGATTATTTTCTACCTCTTTTATGTATTAGCTTCTTAGTGGAGTATAAAAGTTATATTTTTGGGTATCTATATTATGTTACTTGACCATTAAAACCCTTAAACACTGTAAACGCTACTTACATATTATTTAAAAAAATAGGGTTTCCATGTAGCCTTTAAATATAGATTCTATAAGTTTATATATATAATTACCTAACTAATGTAGGTACTAGAATGATCTACTTTTTTGCCTGTTGATATTTACCTATGTACCTACTTTAAAAAGACATTTTTACTGTAAATATGAAATAGGCAAAACCGTTGAAATTGTATGAAAGTCAACCAGTTCCTATATTTAAATGAGTTCAGATTTCTATAAGATATTATGTTTTAGTAATAATTTTATTTTATTTTTATTTTCTAGTATGAATGATTTACGACGAATCTCAAGCATGATTCAAAATTATTCAGTATCGTGCCCAGAAAAACCAGACAAGCGGTATTTATTTCAAATTAAGGTGTATTGGCTGTCAATAGTAACTTTACTTAGTGTATTGGTTACCTTTGTGTTTTGTGTTTTGTGGACTATAATTTTCAAATTGGAAGATGCTACATCAACACATTGTGGCTATCGAGTATGTTTATTGAGATTTATAAGCATAATATTTATATCCTAGTTATTATGTATATTTTAAAATGTTTAGGTCAAAAATTACTTGCCAACAATATCGACTGCTGTGGGAAACTATCCTGTACAACGATTTATTTGGACTTTAGTTATAATCGCTCATAGTCCAATTAGACTTATCGTGGTTGCTATATATTACCAATACTACACGAACATAATTAAACCATCATTACATTGGTGTGTAGTATTATTAAGATTTTTAACCACTGTTGAAGTATGCTCACTAGTTGTATTATCAATATTTACTTCATCAGATTATTACAGTGAGTATTGTAAATTGTGACAAATGAGATATTTATTTATAAAACATATACATTATTTTTGTATGATTAACAGTAAAATTATTTTTTTTGTTATTCTTAAATTTATCCATGGCCATTAGAGATACCAAAATATAGTGTTAGCCGTTAGGTAAATAATTTAAATGTAAATATATCATTTTTATATGATAAGTCTTAAAACTTATGGCCTCTTAGAAATGATTTATTTTTACAAATTATTAATGAACATGTTAAAGATCACCAAATATAAATTAAATTTCTTTGATCCTATATAATTTTTTTTTATCATAGGTGATTTAGATGTGTATAATCACAATAATACTTGCAATACATTACTTTTAAGACATTTATAATATTATGCTAGGTATAATATTTTCGTCTATTTTACTGATTATTCATAATGTTAATGTTTAGTCATTTAATATTTTTTTGTATCCCATTATTTATAATTTTAAAGTTATTGCTGTTTGTTTTTACTTAAATTATTACCTACTTACTGTTGTACATTCTTATGGAATATAAAGAAACCCAAGAATTCACGTTTCTTAATTTCTCTTTAACCTTAAATTATATTTGATTTTAATTGTAATGAACTTTCTATTCATATAAGATGTATCAGGAAGATCTGACTGTCTAACATTAAAATTACATTTTAATATTATGTCATATTATAATAGTGATAAACCCTGTGTAATAGTATATACCATTATGCGGGCAGTCTCCAATAGGTTGTCTATAAAAAACTTCTATCTTATTGGATGTATATTTTGTTATTTTACTTACATTCTTCTTTCTTAGTATCTTCAATACTAACCTAGATTAGTACCTCACCTTTAAATATACTTAGTGGTGTTTGTTATCAATTTTGTTTTTATTTTATCATTTTGTGAGTTTATACTTAAGCTCAATGTTAAGGTTATTAAATCAGAATAGTTTTCGATTTATTCCCTGCTTTGATGTTTTTATAGTAATTTAATCAAATATATTGCCTTCACTTCTTAAAAAAATTATTTTTAGTAGGTAGGGAACTAAGTAAAATCCTACCTTTCCTTTAAAATATATTGGATTACATTTTCTTCTAATTAAGAAAGAGGATGAGAATGAATTATATGATTTAAGTATTTATTTATTAAGCAATAATTTATAAGTTATAACTTTAGTTTTAAATTTAAGTGCTAACAAATGTATAAAATACTTAATATGAATTTTTTGTATTTTTTAAGGTATTCATGAAAAAAGTTTTGTCACATTTATCTGTGCTTCTGAACTTAATATGCTTATTTCTTCTATATTGTTGAAAAAAGGACGAATTACTAAAACTGTCATGACAAAATTAGAAATACGGTCACTAAAATACAAAATATATTTTACAGTATTCAACATGACCAGTTTTGCAATTGCTGGCTATTGCTTTTTACGACATAATGCTTACTGCGAATCTGGTGGTTTGTACTTAAATAAAAATATTTTTTCTATGTACATATATAAATATATTGTATTTACTAATTGACTTGTATATAATTTCAGTATATACATTTTTTGCTCTCTTTGAGTATTTAGTCGTGTTGAGTAACATGGCATTCCATCTTACAGCAGTTTGGGATCTAGCAGGTGTATCATTAGTGGTGGACGATAATTTAAACCTCACCTATCGTTGACTGGAGTCTGAGTATATTTAGTATAGTATTATAATATACAAACATCATGTCTTTATATTGCTTGATAATGTGCCTACTAAAATGTGATATTAATACCAAATCAAATTATAGAAACATAATTAAAATATTCTAATTGTTTTAACTTTTACATCAACATTTAGACTAAGGTGTATCAGTTTGCATTACAATATTGATATCTGGTGTTAAGCATAAAATGTTTAAGATTGTTATATCATATATAGTTGTTAAGTATCACAGTTTTATTTTATGATTGTAATTTTTATTAAATGCTATGAGAAAGTAATATTTAATTGGATACATTACATGTTTTTTTAAACTTTTGAATTAAATATTTCTAAACTAATTAATAATTATTGATATATTTATATTTATACAAATATTGTTAGTTTAAATGAATCTCATATTTTTACACACATTTTTTTTATAAAAAAAAAATATTTTAATGTTTTATTTGCTAGTCTAATGGTTTTTATAAAATATATTGATAATAAGGTAGTAAAATTGTAACTAGTAAGAACAAAGAATTTTAGTTTTTATAATAGTTATTTAATATTAAGTTATATTTTTATGTTTATAAATCCTGTCTGCTTTATTATTATAAAACTTATTTTTTTAATACTTTGTCAGAATTAAAGTACAATATATTGTTGAATACATATGAATGTTTATATTTTTTTACTATGAATATTTATTTTAATATCTATTCTGTAAGATTTTAAAATAGTACATTATTTATATGTTTCAAAGAATTGTATGATGATTGATGGTTTTAACGTGTATTATTTTTATTAAATTATTAATTATAAGAAATAGTCCTTGAAAAAAATTTTGAATTGGGAACTAATTTTACATATTTGTTGAAACTGAACAAAATATAATATTAAATATACACTCAGAAGTCTTAGAATTCCAAGTTATATAGTCATAGATATATTTATATTAATAATGACATTATTATAACAAAAATAATCTTTACGTATTACAAGTTAATAATATTGCAGTGTCGTTTATAAGATAAATTGGGTGTAAAAGAATATGTTGTTATCTAAATCTTAATCAAGTAATATTAAAGTTTAAACTTAAATACTATTTTTGTCACATTTTGGTGTATAGTACATTTCAGTCTATTATATTATGCACTTTAGGAATACACAATTATATAATTTTTAAATAAAACATTTGAAAATTGTGATTCAAACAATTAAACCTATTTTACAAAACCAGTAGGTACTTATGTATCTATTATCATCTAAAATCTTATTTACTGTTTCTTTTTTTAATAATAATATTTTGTCTGCATTAAGAGACTAAAAATTGTAAATAATAAAGAATCTATAAAACAGTGCCTACTGGTAGGTATATGGTCTGTAGACAACTCAGTTCTGAGATGAAAATATAACCCATCTTTCCATTCAAAATCACTAACTTATTATGAATAATTTAAATATTCAATTATAGAATAAGAATTGTGAAATTAATTTATTATATGGAATTCAACAAAAATACTATTTTAACTAGGTAGGTACTTTCTTTAAATTTAATGTTGGTTGAATAACAATTTAATAATATCTTCATTAATCTACCTGTTTTTAATACCCACTTTACTTTGGGATTTACTATATTTAAGACACCATCAATTTTATCAAAGTCTTGAAGGATATCGAAGATGAGTAGGTAGGTATCTCATTTTAACAACTTTAAATTGTTTTTTGCGTCTTCGAGTCCGTAAGTATCTATTCATAATTCATATATTATGTACCTAATGGCTAATACCTATTATAATATTGTTTTGTGCGGTGCGACGAAATTCCGGACGCGAATCTCGGTTTGTATATTAGGTAATAAACATTTTCTAGAATCACCTATGGTCATGTTCGAAAGTGCCTAACAGCTATAAAACTATAATATGTATAATCATTGATTATTAATAGTATTTATAATCAACGGTAGGTACTATATTTTTGTGTAGCGACGATACAAGCCTTGAGTATATTATACACTACCTTCAGCCAGACGACGCACTCCGTCTGTTTCTATGGAGGATTGGAGGATTACACTCCGGGCAGCGCGCCAAGGTAGTATGGGTGTACTGTGTACATAAAGTTACCTAGATAATTCACAGATTCCTAGCAGGAATAGACAGTTTCATACGCCTCTACGGCTGTTATATGTTTTAGAAATAAGAATTTATTATTTTTACACAGGTTATAGGTAGGTAATATAATATATTAGGAGGATTTAGAAAATCCTAGGAAAACTTTGGTAAAATAATCGCATACGAAGCACATATACCTATTCTTTAACAATAACAAGTTTTATAACAAGTTTTAGTATAAGACATAAGTTTTAGTTTTCATCGTCTATAATAATATAATTAATATCATGTAACTACAGATATTATCATCAGGCATTATATTATTTTCGTCGGTTCGTTTACAAGCCGGCCGCACATTTTTTCGTTATTTTTAAATGCTGCAGTGTCTGAGTGCTTCCGGTGCTACTGTATAAACGTGAATACGTGATATTATTAAGTTCACAGTGAAGGCGATTTAAACGTTGTCGATATCAAAAGATGTCTAGGTAGTAGTAACCATGACGTATGTTGCGGAATACAAGGCGAATGTCCTTAGTAGATTGAAGATATTAAGTTCCATGTGCCCCGAATAGCTCCCTGCGTTAAACAGATCTTTTGTTAATGTACCAATGTTTATTTTTATAAAAATTAAATTTTTTAAATTTTTTGTCCACTATAGGCTAAACAACTACTATAAACCAATGTATGCAGTATGCTCCTTTTTTTCGCACAGTGGTCCGCGTTGTTCTCCGAAGGTTTCAAGCCATTCAAATTTAAAATCCATGATTCGGCCAGTAGGTACCTAAAAATAGTACACCACTGTTTGGATGGTCCGTACAATTAGATTTATAAGTGTTTTTCATTTGTCTAACAAACATGCAAATACCTAATAAATAATCCGTGCTTCAATGTTTTTCAGAGAAACGGCTCACGTCCGTCAGTCATTCATCAGTGTACTGCGACACACCGACACCGTGCAAGTTTTGCGTTTTGTATAAGTGATATAAAATACTGAAATTGTCAATATTATGTTTCCCTAAAGAGAAGCAATTGGTCTATCTACACCTCAAGCACGAAAGAAAAAGAAATTGGGAGGCAAGACTGTAATCCGCTCGAGAACGCGATCTAGATTTAGACGAACAGTGCACCCTAATTCGAATATTTTTGTTATTTCATTGCTTTAATTTGCTTATTTTGATTACAGTCTTCATCTTAGGATGGACCATATCATTGCTTCTGATTTGATCTGCTGTATGTGGCGTCGGAAAGCCTTCTGATAGAACCTTTCAAAATTATTCGTGAATGCACTACACCAGCTAGCAGTACCTCTTTCAATTTGCGGGCCACATTTGAAATTTATATTTATACTGCGGGCTTTACATTATACTATTTATACTACACTGTTTTTCTTTGTTCATGATGATAAAAACAATAATAGAAAATATAATTATCTTTGTTCACTTATCGAATTGATTACTCTTATTGTGTGATCATATGTGTTTCAAGTACTGAATATTAAAAGAAAATATTAAAAACTTAAAAACATTAACATTTTTTTTCTTTTACTAATTATACAAATATCTATAACATTTTCATGAGCCGATTGAAATATTTCGGCAGGCTACGGTTTGTGCACTATTACAGTAGACCAAAAAAAAAAAAAAATGTGTGATAAAGCACTTCAATAAAAAGAATTAAAACAAAACGTTAAATTGTCAGGATTTTTTCAGAAAAAATGAACAAAAGACAGCAAAATGTTTCATAACGAAAAACATATTTTTATAACGAGTTTCCTTGAATTTCTGATGGTAGCATAGCAACGAAAGCAGAGACGCAGGTACGGTTAATATTAATAATGTACAAATAATAATAATGCAAGGGTAACATGTAAAATATGAATATATAATTTTAATAAAGTACAATAATTACTATCAAATTTTTAAATGGTGCTCATTCAATTTATACTGACATTTATTAATATTGTGATATTATAAAAAAGTAGTTATTATATTTCAATAATAAATAAAAATATATTTGTAATCTTTGTTAAGTTATATTACACATACAATATGTACACATAATTTCACTACCTACGAATTATTATTTTTGTAAAAATATAAACTGAAGAACTAATGACATTATATGAAGTATCTATGTGATTTAAGAATCAGAATCAGAAATTCATAAGTCATAAACAACAATATTCAAATTTAAAATATTTTAATATCGGCATAATTATTAAGAAGGTACTAACTTTACCTATTGTACCTAATACCTATTAAGAATATATTATTATTCCCAAGCAATAAGATGTTATCCACAAATAGTTCGAAGTATTGTAATTATTGTATTAGCGAGGAAATGTTAAGTAATATAACGGTATATTTCATCAATTTGGTATAATCGGGACTAATTTGATGCCAATATGTCTACATTGTCTCATTCCAAATTTTATAATATTATTATGTCAGGTGTCATCATAATATTAACGAAAATATAACATAAAATATATATATATATAATATTAAGTCGTTACTTTCCGATATTGAAACTGTCTTTGTATAGTCGAGTCGAGTTCACAATTTCACCGCGATGAACTAGGTCATTCAATCAAAGTAATTATTATTTTTAAAGGTGAGGGGGAAATATTGATAAATATAATGCGTCAAAATATAAATTCTGCATAATATAAAACATTACATCGTACATGGATAAATATAGGTACGTAATCTGAGTTCTATACGACTCGATGTTATTGTATTTTGTATAATATTATATGAAACATGTATGGCTATGATATAATTACAATATAATATAATACTATTATGAAATGTACGAACACTGAATATTATAATATAGGTAGCGAATAAAGACTAATACAGCAGCTTACCCATTTATAAATAAACAACAAGTATAACTTGTACGAATTAGTGATGTCGTCCAGCTTATAATACGTCTTATATGTTTGTCGATTACAGATTACACTCTCAAATAGTCTATACGAATACAGGGTGTGTGTGTGTGTGTGTGTGTGTGTAATTTTTGACTTTTGAACTGAGGCACGTAGTATGCGATGCGTACCTATATTCATTGCAGGGTCCAAGTATAAATCCTTATTAGTAAGGATTCCAACATTTCCAACCCTGAATGAATGTAATTTAATTTTAAGCTTATTTAATTCGATACGGCTAAAATCATCATCATCATAATGTAAAGAACGATCTTGCCAGAGTTTAATTTAAAATAGTTAAATGTTTCGGTTTCATTGTACTTTTTTTAAAACCGAGTAAGCAGGTGATCGTCCGGAAACCGGGATGTACGTTGTATTAGCCAAGCTCATTTTAAAAATCAACATTATTTTTTCACAAATATTTATAAAGATTCGATAAATATTGTAGAGTAATAAAATAAGTATTCTATCAAAAATCTTGAAAATTTAGTACTTGCTTCCTCATAACATGTAATATGTGTATTTTAATTATACGTTTAATTTTATACTTTTATTACCACGAATCCGCCTTTATCTTCAGTGAATATATTTCACTTCTTACATTATTATACAATTTTATTTATAAAGCGTATATGATATGATAAATTAAAAAAAAATTTAATTTAAACAGGAATGTTCAGTATTCAGTGTTGTCCAGTGTTATTGAATGAAAAATAATAATTGATGATTTTTGTGGGACATAAAAAATCCACGTGTAAAACATTTTATAATACTGGTATTTATTTTTAATAAAATAAAATAAAATATGCGTCTACATCCGCTAGTAGTTCATTGTTCATTGCAATACATATTTATTTTAAGTCTAAAAGTACCTAAATTTAAACCTACTAAATCATAATATGAAGACGTACTTACTAAACATCGTCCCTTTCGGCGAAAATGAAGCCGAATCAAATTTCACCGCGGTCACAACGCAACATTTTTTTGTTCGAGTTCAGTTTGCTTATTGAAATTTGAGAATCATTAACACCGTCTTCGTCCTACGCGAGATGTAGAAAAGATGACTTTTCTATATCGTGGTCAAACGCAACGGTTGCTCATTGCTGTAGACGAGAGATTTTATAATATTTTTACTTGATGATGATGAATCCACTGATAAAATATTTTGCTGAATACAACTGACATTATAGACGATACAGCTGATTTGGTTTTTATGCTAAATTCGGATATTTTATCCGAATTTTCTTATCAAATAATATGTTCGTGTTTAGATTTTTTTTCATTGGTATGTGATATATGTCAATAACCAAAATAGTTTATAGTTTTAAATTATAATAATTATATGAAGTATTATTTAAATTATTTTGACTGTTTATTAATATGTACAGATTTTAGATTTTAGATTATATATTTTTTTATTTTAGAAGAATAATATTCTCATTATAACCAATAAATAAAAACGTAATAAATAAATTTGAATACTGCTATTTAACGTTACAATAATTATAACGTGTATAGGTATTCAAGGTACTTCAAATTTACAGTACTAGGTAAGCCTCTAGAGTCTGAATTATAAAATTATAAGTCAAACATTTTCTCCAAATACATTGATGAGCAAGAAATCAGTTATTATAATTTTGGTCGTGCAAATTCTTGCTAATTACGTGCTAATTGTTGGTCGAAAAAAATATTCAAACTTCTTAAGATTTCGATTTGGGGCCTGGCGCAACGGTAAAAACATGAAACTGGATGTAACTCGTTGAATAGTGTCATGCGAATTCTAATTTTGGTCGTTCAAATCCATGATGATTAGGTGCTAAATATTTGTGCAAAAAAATGTTTGATTTTCAGAATGGGCCGGGCTAGTGCGATGTAGGTACATGAATCCGGGAACGCATCGCCAATAGAACAAATGTTACTCTGCGATCGACACAGACTCTCGACGTAATTTATTATCACATTAAAGGGAATTTTTTTCATCATGGAACAAATATTGTCTTCTTGTAATGCTCAACCGGATTGTTAATAGGCAAATAAATCGTTTCGAGATAATATTATTGTACTCTATCCCGGCAATACATAATATAAGCACTGTATTGATATATATATATATATATATATATATATTATAGCGTACCTATAGACTGTAACCCCGCCGAGAATGATGTGTAATATTATTTATTAATTATATCATTTATTTAATATGATAATCAGCTTTCTGCTGCTGCATTACACATATTTTATAGATCATCAATAATCAACCAAAAATACGTGAGGTATAGTATTCGAAAAATATGATACAATATAATTTGATATTGAATGAGATGATAAAATAAATAAATGTGTTATTTTTCAGATTAATATGGGTACGCAGTTGGGTTCAGTATGACTAAAATAGATGTATAATATATTATCATATACGTAGGTATTATATTATAATATAAAATATAATATATTATAAGTGAATAGTCGGGCGCAGCTTGCACGTAATATTAATGTCGATACGAAAGAAATATTATCCGCAAAATAGTATGCGCATAATATGTTTATTATAATAATATGTAGGCTACCTACGAAACAGTATATAGGAAATCGGTTTGTGTACGAGGCTCCGCAGACAAATTGATTTCGTTGCTTTTCGCTTTCCCCGTGTTTGGCAGCCACCGACCTTTGTCCCTGCCGGTGCACTCGTATAGGTAATATAATATGGTAATATCGGGTCGGTGTGAAATAGTGCGACGGGTTGTATTAGTAGTAGTATAGGGGTAGGAGAAGGCCGGTTTGCGTAGGTAAATTTTCCGATTTCGACATCAGCGGATTTTTTCTGTAAAAAAGGCGAAATTTGCTGTTTAAAATATCAATATCGTCGCGCCACCCCGCCCCTTTAACCATCACTCGGCTCTCAGTAGTCAGTAGGGGCCATGATCCCATAACAATTATTGTATGCAACTTGTATATTTTAATTAAAATATGTAACAAAAGAAGCTTTCGATTAATATAATACAATACATCAAATTCATGTGATATCCACGGGCGTAACTTGGACAGTTTTTATAGAAAAACAAACTTTATTTTATGTCGATTTACCGTATACTACTAAGATAACGACTAGATAATATACTTTATCTGTAGAAAGTAAAACACAATATTATTATGTAAGCTAAATATTTATGATAGCATGTAAAATTAAATAACGTGATGGAAAAAGTTCGATGAAATGGGGGTAAGTACATCAAATAAAAACATTCTGCTTATTACATTATATTTACATAATATGGAATTTATTTCCGTAGTCCATATAGTATTATAAATATATAACATAATAATTATTTATTATATATCATAATAAATTTAATACTAAACATTTAGATATTACTATAGATTAGTCAAAATTCAACGGAAATGCAATTTTTTCGACTTATCGAGGTTTTCGACTTACTAAGGTTTTAGAAAAAAATTCGACTTAAAGAGTTTTTAAAATGTAAGTAAATAAATATTACAGTTTTTAATTATTATATACAATATAAACAAATGTGATTATATAGGTTATTTAAATTTTAAAAAAAATATCACGAATAAAATATAATAAAACATGTGTTGCAACTTTATAATAGATAATTTGCTATCTTACATTGACTTAAAATTTGAGATTTGCTATTATAAAATTATCAGTTATTTAATTATCGGAACAGACAAGCTGATTAGACAATTTTTTATAAAATCATCTGTCTATATTTGGAGCACAGGATGTTCGAGTTATCTATAGTTTTTTTTTTCGAGTAAGTTTTGGCAAGGGAACGGAATTTTTTTCGACTTATCTAGGTTTTCGACTAGGTTCCACGGTATATTAATAACAGTATTAAAATGTTAAACTTTATATAACCTTGCAAGTTGCAACACTTTAATATTTAAATTAAAATGTCAATTGAAGTCTTCTTCTTCGTTTTGTTGAATCTGCATTAGTACCAATAAATAATTACATCAAAATTACAATTTTAAAAGTCTTTTCAATAAATAAAATAGCCATGTTACTTTTTGGCCAATGTTGTTTCTCGTAAATGTTTTCAGGTGACGAGGAGATGAAAACGAACGTTCATCCGAATCAGGACTTTTTGGTACTTATTAGAATAAAGATAGAAAAATGTTTTACATATTATAATATAATCAAGTGTTATAAATAGAGAATATAATATTATGAAATGAGCTAATTAATGGACTTAAAAATATTTAGTTATATTAGTAGATGAACACATCTTCCTAAATAGTTTTAATCCCGCCTTTAAATCATCACAGTCAATATTGTTGGTGTTATTCTAAAAAATGTCCATCTTTTGATATTAAAGTATCACTTTGGTTTTGTTTTTACTCAAGAATTGCGACAAGAGATTAATTCTGTTATCATGATGTAATGAAACAATTCTTACAAATCGAAAAGCTTAACCTAATCGGGGACAATTGCCCCCCTGTTTACTAATATGGTCTATGGTCTATTTATTATACGAGTATTCTCATAACCATCCCTTTCGAATCGACTGCTTTTAATTAATATTATTCATTATAACCTAAATAATATTTAATAACTATATTATGATTTCGTATATTATTTATGTAATAATATTTCAAGTTACAAGTCGATTGTTAATTTACCTACTATATTAATTATTATTATTGTTACACAGACTTAAATAATTTTAATAACAATATTGTATAGTCGGCGTTGATTAATCCCACTGTAAAACATTGTAGCAGAGGGTTTCAATTTAAAATCATTCATACATACCTACATATCATATTGTTACACTTACATATTTGTATACTCGCATAAATACATTTTGACTTTTGGGTATGGGGTACGCTTTACGTGAACTTTACCACGGTTACCTTGCAGGCAATAGTACTATTAGAATAATACTCTTCTTCTGTAATGACATGTACTATAATTATTCTATTATCGATATAGTTTATTTTCGTATCCGTGTTTTATGAGTTTTTTCCTGTACAAATATTGTATCAATAATTTCAACCATTAGTACATATCGAAAGGAAGAGATACACACACGCTAGAAATGCTTTTTAGGTTTGTGCATGTGTGTGTGTGTGTGTGTGTGGGACGAGGGGGTTAATGAGGTAAAACACTATTATTCGTTATGAGCTATTAACGTTTGAATTATGGAACTTGTATTGGCCAAATCGACAATAGATTATAAAGTAGATGGGACCTATTATTATAAAAAAAATCCAACTTGAATGGTAAATACCCACTAAATCCCGTGCTCACGAATTACCGAGAAATGACGAAGACTTTTCGAATTGTAGCAAGCTCGAGTATCGTACAAAATCACTACGCAGATTTTAAGATTACCATTTCCCTAGGCGTAAGAAGGTGGGTACATAATTTATAAGAGTACGAAATGTTTGGTTACATTTAGTCCTTTCGTGTAGCAGAGGAGCAGCTGCAGTAAGCTCACGCCATAATATGCAATCGCATAAAACAAATCGGCAATGGTATATGCCGCCATGACGGTATACGGTAACTGCAGTATTCTGTATAAGAAACCCGTGTTAATCTTAAGCTTACCCGTATATACTATGCACATATAGTGTAACCGTCAAATATAATATACATATATAAGTGTAAATACCCTATATATGGTATATATGACAACACATACAAGTATATAAACAAATAACCATATATAGATTAGGTTAGCACCATAGCTATAATAATATTACCTACACGCAACATAATAAATCAGTATACAGTCTGACGTTTATTTTACCAAACAATTATTATTGTAATTATTATTACCGGCTATACATTATTATACATGTAAGTACATTTATACCGTTTTATACTTAGGGATCTCGGCTGTGGTAATAATAAAATGACACCTATAATACGTGTACATAAAAATACACTTTTTTATAATACCCATTATACATTCGACGGCGAGAGTAAAAGCAATAAGCGATGTGTATATGAAATTATATGATACGTATTATTGAAATATTGTATCGTTATTGGTTTAGAGTTTGGTCGTACAGACTTAAACGGCAATAAAATATAAATTATTATTTTATTTACTTTATTTTCAAATGAGTGAATAAGCGATATTCAATATTATAATATTTGGTTAAACACTATAATGTGATGCTTTAGCAGCGAACACTGTATCGTAAGTTAAGTTTTTTTTAGAACTACCTATTTATTATTGTTAATACCCTGGGTAGCTGTTGTAGTCAAGTTACTATCACGGTCTTCGATTTCACGAATAGTCATTTTATCATTTCAGCAGAGTATGTATTTGATCTGCATGCGGTTGGCAATCGATTTGCCTACAATTATTATTAAACTATAAATGAAATTAGCCAAGAATACTAGGAATAATAGTGTCGTTTAATAACTAATGAGTTTTATCTTTAATACTACAGTCACAGGTTTGTTGATCGAATAATGCAAAATAATTCATTCTGTACTATAAACTTTCACAAATCATAACTACACTTAAATAATTGATTGGTTGTGCATTAAATAATATATGCGTTTTGCATTCTTCGGCCCAATGGTTTGTCTGCTCATAACTCTATATCAATAATAAACAGAGTTATAGAATTAAAAATTAATTATTTTTCTTTTCGGGTTTACATATTTTTATAAATACAGTTTGTAAATAAATAAATATACCCGATATTTTGTATGTTTTTGTAATTGCTTAAGGTTGTTTTTGTAGTCCACACTGTTATCTTGGAACACACAGGTTTAATGTGCAATCCTATACCATTGATATCAGTTATAACAGCTGCAAATTTGTCGCCAACTACTTGTAGTACCTGCACAGTGTTGTATTTTATTTTTTTTAGGTTACGAAGTGCGTAGGTACCTATCCGTCAGTATAAAGTTAAAGTCTTACTAAGATATTTTTTTTCTATTTTTTTCTGATGGAACTTTTTCAAAGTAAAAGGAGGTCTCAAAAAAGTTTTATGTAACCCTATCTACCGACTGGGAATCAATCTAGTTCGTTTATTTGAAGAAGCAGCTTTTTGAAATTTTCAACAGTTTGTCTAAGACCGTACATAGAAGAAGACCGATACATGTCGGAGAAATAAATTAATTTAAGCAATTTTCGCTTGAATAATTTAATATAAGTTATAAGACCATGCCGGGGTTTGTTTTTAAAATACAATTATTAATGATATTCAAAGTTCAATAATTTTAATAATAATATGCAACTACATTGGAAAAAAATAGTTCAACCTTATAGTTACTGATAGAAAAACAAATTACTATCTAATAGCAATGTAAAAATATAATTAAGTATAGGCCGACATACCGTCCCCAAATTTAGCACACCTATCACGGTGACCTACTCAGTGATGTGGAGCAATCAACACCTACTGTTCAGCAGAGAGAACTCGCTGTTTTTTTATTTTTTATTATTATTTTGAATTTTTTTGAAATTCATGATGTAATTATTACTAAATTATGGTTATTTTAAGTCTATTTATTGGTTGAAAGTCTGAAACTATGCTCAACTTATATTAATATTAATTATGTTGTGTTACATGTTATATCCCTGCAAATTTTAAAGCCTTATACGTACCATATTATTCCATATATTATGCAAATTATGGTTATCTTTCAATATGATTATCCAACGCCCTGCATTTTCATTACTTTTGTGTTCCCATGCGGGTACGCTCTTTTCATCGAACACAAATAAACAGGTGTTTAAAGATTTAACTGATGGTTGAATGATGTGATTGAGGACTCTAGATACATAATTATTTATTTTAATAAGTTAATTATACTATTTTAAGTAGATCAACTTAATAAAAAAAAAATTATACAAATCACAGTGTAATTTGATTTAAGATTACCTGTGCAAAATATTAAAATAAAAAAAACAGTAAGTATTTTTGTATCATCTAAGATCTCGTAGAATCATCGAAGACATTTTAAGGATTCTATTTTATATTTTTATTCGACAAGTATTTGGACTATCTGAAATATTACCCCATCTATAATTATTATGAATATGGTAATTACTAATTTTACCTACTCTTGAATGTCTCTTATTATGCTAAAAATGATACTTCGTTTACGCAAGAGATTGAGTTTTGCTAGTTGATATTTCCAAAAACTTCGGCATTGTCACAGATAAAGATAATATGGGCTATTTGTTCTATTCTAATTTAACTTAGTTTAAATAAATTATTAACTTAAACAATATAAAATTAAGTATTAGCAAGAGTTAGGTATGTATTATAAAAAAGTCTGTTAATTACTAATTTTGATGTTTTTTATTCTTCGAATTTCTTTGATGAAAATCGATAATTTACCACATTGTTGAATTATTGGATTTTTAATTTTATAACTTAACGTTGACAATCAATCAAATACATTTATTTTGTTTTCTATTTAATTTTAACTTTATTAAGAAAGTGTCATTAATATTATGAACTTACTTCCATAGATGAGTAACGTCACGAACAGTTTCAATTTTGGTCAATGATTCTTCCCATGGATACCTTAAATTCAATTTTGAAGGATTTCTGTACCAAAATGACCAAGAGCTTATAGGATATACCATTGCAACATCCGGGTATAATGTTACGGTAGAATTATTAATATTTTCGTTAATTTCAATATTTTTCATCAATTTTTGATACTCGTCAGATATATTTGGTTTGGTTTTATTAGTTTTATTTGATTCGGTAATAATTTCAGAATACTCAAACTGAAAATAATCGTTGATATGGCTTATAATTACTAATTAGTATAGTTACAATTAGATAGGAAATAATAAAATTGTATTGTATCACGCTATTGTTTATATTAAAGTGTAATTTAATTAATTATATTATGAAAATCCGATTGTATGAATTGATTGTATTGGATTATTATTTATATTTTTGACATAATGATAATAATTTTCCTATTATAATAATACTATTAACAATCCATTTCAATATTGATGTTCTTCAATTAATATTTTTTATTGACTGGAACATGAAGTATAGGAAATTACAAAGTTCTAACACAGATTAAAATTAATAAATCTGATCATTTGTCAAATTCGTTTTTTTTGGTTTGTTTAGGTATATGTTTTTACGATTATTGTAAATTTTATATTTAAATGATACAGGTTTTTCTATATTTACTTTTACGTTTACAAATATTTAGTAGTTGTTATTTATTACCAACCACAATACAAATATTCGCATAATGAGAAGTTGTGTACAACATAAATTAGTTTGATTAATTTGCTTTTTTATTAATTCATTACACAATACACGTTAGGTGATTACTCAACGTGATTACAACGTATATTGCTCACATATTTAATGAGTTTTATGTACAAACAAATAGCAACTCTTATTGATAGCGTTGTTTAAATATAATTGTCTGAATCAAATCCTATTTAATAACTTATATTTACATATTAACTGAGCTACTGAAGTCTAGAGGCTTCATATTTTTTTAATTTCTCACACATAAATTCATAAATTGTTTAATATTAATATAATGTATCTACCTATTTGAATATATATATTATTAATTTAAAATCATACCTGGTCAGTGTTTTTAAGTTTATACTCCATCTTAATACGACCTAAATCCGTACACAATTAATGATACTAACGCATAAATTCTAAAAGTTGAATACAAAAAAAAAAAAAAAATAATAATAACAAATAACTTAATAACTATTATGTTTGATGTCAAGGAAACAAAATACTGCATTGGACTGAATAATAACAATAATAACAATAAAGTATTTGAAATATTACTATTACTCATTACTAGAGAGCTTTTATATATACTCTCTTCTCATTACTCATCAATCTTTAACAATCTAAGTATTTTTTTCTTTTTTATAACAGACATAGATATAGGCACATACACAATAGGAACTATAGCAAAAAAATGTTCAGTGTACCCGCTTGAATTTGTTTTTAAATTGATTAAATTACAATTTGGATATGCTTATTATTTGTCAACAATTTTGATTTTAGGTGTTTATATAAGTTGACTTAATAATTTTTGTAAAAATTTAAATTTTGGGTTCAATTACATTGATTATTAAAATAGACTGTAATTTAAATACTAAATGTACTTATACAATATTATTAAAAACACATGTCATATTAGAGTATTAGACAATATAATTACATTTTTATATGTGAATCTATTTGTTTGAAAAAATTAAAATATTGGCGGTGTTGTATTGATTAAAGTGTAATACTCATTATAGTGTAACGATGGTTGCATAATTACTTACTTATATTTAGTTAACATAATAATATGTATAATAAGCTCATAAATACAATATTATAGATATAATAGACCACGTTTACAAAAAATTAGTTTTTAAATAGCTAAAAGTTTATATAATATACAAGATATTTTATTTTGTCTTACACAATACGGTTTAACTGATTTACTAGACACACTACTCTTTAAAGTGAACCTAATATGACTTAAGTGTAAGGAAATTTACTGTTTAATTTTTTGTCATTATTTGTTTAGATAAATTGCCATGGCTACTGTATTATTTTTTATACTCCAAAAAAGACAAATATATGTGTCCTTAAAAGCATTCTAATATACAATTAATGTATTCAACACTATATTTATCTTTTTTTCCTTTGTCGTCGTTATTCCTTTCGTAATATGAAACCTATAATTTGTCTGATCGTTAAGTTCCTACATTAAGTTGAAATTATCAAGCATTTTGTCTTGATCCGTAATTCATTATTTACAACTTGACCTTTTTTTTTTTCGCATTCTCGTGTTTCTACCAGCTCTTTAATTTTTCAACCCCCTTCTTTTCCGATATAATTATACCTATATGGCTATATCTAGAGGTATATATTTATAACAAGTGTGTCCTATTGGTGTATATTCACGTGTAATTTATAGTCAGACCCCTCTACCATGCCCTCAACTTTATACAGGATAGGTATCAGGCGATCGGCGTGCCATCACGTGAAACATATCAAAAGGAAATTAAATATTTATCGTTAACAAAAATTGAAAAAAAATAATTTATATCGCGAACAAAAGAAACTTTTGTTGTTGTTATTTTTGGTTTATTCCGAAACAATGGTTTTATTATTTGATATTTACATCACCATTCACCGTAGAAGATGAAAAGTTGTAAACAATACCATTCGACATATATACCTGCGTCCTGCATTGATAATAAATTAATATTTTTCTAAAAACCGGATCCATTAAATATGAAATTAAATGGGATATTTTAATGTTCATCTGTCTTGTCATATCACATGAGTTTTCCACTATTATACGGTTTCACCCACATTTTGGCCGTCAATTTGCCACTGCTCGTTCAAACAATTTATATTATTGTGGTTTTTCCCGCGCACCTGGGAGCCCTTATACCTTTTTCTGACAGCGGGACCCTTATGTATACAGAGAGGTGGGTAGCTTTTTTTAACGCTCGAAATCCAAAGCATCATTCTTCAACGTCAAATGCAAACCGATATCTTTGAAACATGTCAATACTTGGACTTGACCTTTGTTGTAGGTTTACTATTGTATATTTTATTTTACCTTTCACAATTTTTCTGGCATAATATTATTTATTTGGTCCCGATGATTATTATGTACCTACCTATATGGCTATATTTAAAAAACCTCGAAGGAAAAATGAAATTGTGTACATGGGAAGGTATTAAGCACTTATACATTTAAATTATTAATAGTTAGTATCAACATTGATGGAGAACGTTAATTGATAGTGATCAAAATATAAGCTAGGGTTAATTTTCGTTACATATTTAAATTTCTTTTATAAATTCTGGAAATTTAGATTTAATGATGCTATTAAATAATTTATTTTATTGATATAACTTTGTAAATATAATACTATTCCATATAATATCTTTATAATACCATTATGTTGATATGAATTCACATTAAAATATTAGTTCACCATATTTATATTCATATTAATCAGTTTTGAGCTTTGTTTTTGTATCCCAAAATATACTATACCAGGTTTTTCAATTAATTTGAACTTCAACTAATAATTTTGCATATTAATTAGTATCAAATGCATATTTTGAACGTATTTTAAGTGGCTTTTTACCTAACCATACATGCAAATTTTAGCATTTTCCTTTTTAGGTTGTTTATTAAAAGCACCTACATATTTTATTACCTATCAGATGTTAAAATTACAACGTATTACTCAAATACAGCGTGGGCCTTGCGTGTTTTTCCGTTTCAACCAAATATTTAATTTTCAAATATAAATATTCTATACATATTACCTAACATTCGTGCTTTATAAAGAAAAAAACACTTACACCTAAAATAAGTGACAAAACGATTGAAGTTATAATACTAGTCTAATTAATAGAGTTCGAACTAAAAAATAATAAATAAAAAATATTAATTATTCATGTTTATATTAATTTATTACTACATGATGGTTACAATGGTTACATACTTACAAATACCTACCTGGTTATTTTCGCTATAGTAGTACTGCACAAGAATGTAAACATTATAATACGTGCTTTTAATAATTGAAGTATAATCGTGCTCGATGAATCGAAAGGAGTAAAATAAGTTATTGGAAAAAAGTAATGTATATAGGTGTAGGTATCAACTATCAATGCATTTAGACATATTTCGGTTTAAACTACGTTTTTAAAATCATTTTTTGAAAAAACAACAATAACATTTTTATAATTCTAATAGAATAAACATGATTTTACTAGATACTTGGAGTTTCGGATTAGGCAGTATCTACTGTTGTTATTATTATTATTATTATTATTATATCAGAACCACAAGAAGTATTGCTTGCGTTTAAAACATTCGCGTACCTAGCTATGAACTATTTTTGTTTTATTAAAATGCCGATATAAACGGGAAACACTGGCGGCGGAAACAACAAATGTCGAAAATAAATGTCCAATGTATATTGGGCACAATTGTCGGGGGAAAAAAATACGATGCAGTTGGCTGAGACTCGAGATAACTGTTCCTCGGGAAAACGCTTAGATAGCCCGCGATAACTACAGGTGCAAAATGGAGAGCAACAGATTTATGACGTCGTATATCTTTTCCCGTACGGCGGCAGAACGAAGTAAGGGTTCCCCCATTTTATTGAGTGATCAATCCTTTTACCACGCGCTTCGGGCCCATTATTCCGTTGTGCGTGTGCACGCCCGCGTTGCTATATAGGAGGTAAATGTCACTTTATCATCCTTATCGGATATACCGGGGAAATATGTTTTCAAAAGAGCACAAAGAGATGCATGAATGAAACGTATCGTCGTTCTTTGTCCCCCGCTCCGCTGGAATCGTATCGACTGATTTCGATATCGACGATGTAGCCATGTAGGTGTCATAAAGTGAAGTTTAATAATAACCCCAAATGATAGTGTATGCATTATGCACATATCTTATATTTTAAGTGCTTTTTGAAATGCTTACGTACTTGCATACTTCTGTTTTTAATTAAAACTATGATGTCACAATTTAATAATCTCTAATGTCCTATGTATTAAATTTTACACTTTAAAAACTTTAATTTAATTTTGTGTACAAATGTGTGCGAGATCGGTTTAATTTTTAAATCAATGCATCGTTTACATTATGTAATAAAAATAAAAATGTGTGAATGTTTGGAATTCATGTCCTAAATACTGTAAATTGCATAAGTACCTATATCTGTATTACGTGGTAGGTATTCGAGATGAATTTACATACGTTTTCATAATTAGTTTGTATTTATTTGAATTGATAACGATTTTTGATACAAACATACCTAATAAATGCTTTATTGTATTTTCAACTAAACAATGCTTTGAAAGTTGACCCACATTTTTCATACAACTTAATATTTGATTGACCTTTTTAAAAATTCCATTTTTGTTTTAAACAATGTCAGTGAGTGATTAATATTATTCTAATGTATAAAATCTGTTGATACAACTATACAATTTTGGTTCTCAAAACTATAACAGTTCAAATTTAAATGATTGTGAGAACAATATATTTGACCGATGAATGAACAGGACCATCATGTCAAATGAAAAATTTGAATGAAAATGAATGACAATTTTCAAGATTTTAATAGAACGAAATATCACATGATATTGTGTTATATTTTCCATTAATTTATAATATTTTATAATATATTAATATTAGCTTATACGTTGTTAACGAATATTAATTATTAATTTGAATTTGTAATCATACAAATTAAATCTATACTTTCAGTGTAGATCTATTTGATTTTGATCCCTTACAATATGTGTTAATCTAATATTAAGAAATGTAAATAATTATAGAGTTTTTTATAATAATTTCTAATTTATCGAAATCACCGTAAGTCAATTAAAACAAAATCCATTTGTATGTTTCCCGCAGGGTGTTTAAGTTTCCGAAACTTTCCTCATTTTACTGCAGTTCATATACAGCGTATTACCACAAAATTATTCACGCGTGCTCAAGCATCACCAAAAGTAGTAGATTTAAATTTAAATTTTAAATGTCGAGGCGTATTTCTTCATCGAAAATTACGTTAAAAGCCTATTCAAATATGTAGTAGAAAACAGAG